GAAGAATTGATGCCTTTGAATTGTGGTGCTGGAGGAGGCTCTTGAGAGTCCCCTGGACTGCAAGGAGAACAAACCTATCAATTCTAAAGGAAATCAACCCTGAGTGCTCACTGGAAGGACAGATCCTGAAGCTGAGACTCCAATACTTTGGCCATCTCATGAGAAGAGAGGACTCCTTGGAAAAGAAATGGTAGAAATGTTGGGGAATTGTGAAGGCAGCAGGAGAAGGGGACGACAGAGGATGAGATGGCTGGACAGTGTCTGCGAAGCAACCACCATGAATTTGACCCAACTCCAGGAGGCAGTGGAAGATAGGTGGGCCTGGTGTGCTCTGGTCCATGGGGTCACGAAGAGTCGGACACAACTAAACGACGACGCAGCATCTCTAAAGAATGATGGTTGCGTTGCATCCAAACAGCTAGCTCTGTTCTTGTTGGGTAGTCGGTGGGTTTCTTTATGGAGCCAGCCTTAACACCAAGAACTCCTTACTAGACACTTGAACTTCCAGATGTTTTTGGAACATCCAGAAGTCACAGTTTGCATGGCCATTAGTAAAGGAACAGGCGACTGGTGCTATGAAACATCCGGACGCGCAGAGGTTCCCCCGTCCCTGCTGTATACACTTAAAACCATCAGGTCCTTACATAATTCTCCCCTTTAAAGACAGAGCGCAACAGGAGGGGGGGATAATGGGCGGGGCTACCGAGGAAAGGGCGGGGTTACACGCCCAAAGACACCCCCCTGCCCCTCCCTCCTCTCCCCTCCTCAATTTAGACCAGAAGAAAACAGGTAAGAGGTCCTTCTCCTTGGCTCCGGGGTTCCCACTTGTTGCCGTCTTCAACCCGCTTCGGCGGGGAGGATGCAGAAACTATCCCTTTCCGTAAACCAAGACTAGGCACAGGTTTGTTTTATATTGCTTGGGGAAGGGAAGAGGGGGGGACGAGAGAAGGGAGGCTCTCGCCACCGGGCGGAGCCACCCAAGGACAGAAAGAGAGAGAGAGAGGCGCGGGCGGGGTCCTCTCCTCTGCCGAGCTCGTGTGGGCGCTGCCTCCGGTCCCTCCTCCTCTACCTGACGGATCAGGCGGAGAGCTAGAGAGAGACGAGGCGAAGGGAAGGAGGAAGGAAGGAAGGAGCCTCGGGAGCTTGCTTTTTCCGCCGCCCAAGCGCGTGGGATCCAGATCGCTCCGCTTTCTCTACCTTCCCCTCCTTGCCTGCCTTCGCTCCGTTATCCCGAGGCGCGCGGCTCTTCCTCCATCCTGCCACCGCGATGTTCTGAGCGGAGAGCATCCTTCGCTAAGTCTCCGTGCCGGTCGTTCTTGCTTTCTCTCTGTTTATCCTTTTCTTTTTAAAATTGCTGCATTCAACCGTTCTAAAGGTCTCTCGAGGCAAGGAGCGTTTTTAAAAAATAAATAAATAAAGGAGAGAGGTAAGTAACTTGGCTGGATTTGTAGCTCTTTTTTTTACAAAACCCCCCCCCCCTTTTCGGGAAGGAAGAGAGGGGTTAGGTTTAAGGTTGTAGTCTTGAGAGCACTTACTGGAGAGTCAATCCTAATGAGCTCGAGGAGATTTTACTTCAGCCAAGATGGAATTAGCCGTAGCCAATCAGTATATTTACTCAGAAGTAGCCCTTGCCCGATCCTTTAGCATTAGTGCCCAGTAAGGTGATGCTTTGCTAAGTCTGCTTAAGAATCCAAACTAAGACGACAACCTTGTGACAGTCATCCGCCCCTTGAAGCAAGCATGGCTTGGTTCTGAGTAAACATACCTTGAAAGACCATGCTATTGTTTTCCTGGAGCAAAAATTACAATAATAATAATTTTATGCTGAGTTTTGAATTTGCTGATGAAAACCAGGAAACTGTGTGTGAGGCTGGAGCCCATCTCTTAAACAGCTCAATTGTAGATGCCTTTATGTTGTGGCTTATTTAATGTGTCTTTACAGGCAAAGGAAACAGGTGTCTTATATAGACTTCAAAAGCTCTGAATCTGGCTGTCTAGATCTTTCTTCTTTAGGATCAAGGAACCTGCTCTGTTTTGGCAAAGGTCCAGGGCCATTTGCTTCATTTCATGAGATTTCTAGGAAACGCCTGGATAGATGATGCCTCCTGAGAGAGAGAGAGAGAGAGAGATGGCTTACTTTTGTAGCCACCACAGTCATTTAGGCAAACAAGTAAAGAACATCACTAACCCCACTGAGCCATAACCAGTGTTGAGGTGTGGGAAAGTGGAGAGGAGGGTCTGTTGTTCCCTCGCTGTACAGTCATCACTGGGAAGGGATTAATCCTAAAAGATCAGCAGCAACAGCTACCACTGCTCAAGACTCACCTTAGCTAGCAGCTGAGGAATTCCAGAGCATCCATTCAAACAGAATTGCTGGTAAAACTCCCATGTGCAGACCACAGTGTTAAAGATGAACAATTAGTCATCAAAGCAGGAATGAGTAACTTGCAGCCCACTGCAGCTCTCATCAGCTAGCCTAGCCAGCCCGTAGAACAAATGGGAAAGCAGTGGGATCACCAACAAGTGGAGGGAAAATAATAGGGTCACCAACAAGTAGAGGGACATTACTTGAGTGTAACAGAAACCTCTTTGCTGATTCTGCTGTTATGGAAATTCACATTGTTTTGGCTTCTGTCCCAGAATGACCTAGAATCTAGGCAATATATATTCAAAATGCCTTCATTTGTTTCTAATCCAGGTGAATCAATCTAGACAGAAATATTCACCATTGAGGGGTGGGTGTTTTAAAGCAAGTGATTCGGCCTCTATGTGTTTTTTTCACTTGATCAAGTGAAGATGGATATTTTGTTGTCATTGTAAAACTGTGCCATTGTGAATAAAAGTGAATCAAAATAACACGCCCTTGAACTGGGACCCCCTTCTCCCCTAACTGCAAATTTATCCCTGTGTAACACCATAAATTGGGTATGTGATTATTTTCAATATGGGAGGAGTGTTAAAAATTGCAATGGAGAGCTGCTGTCTACATGAACAATGTATTTGTACTGTTGAAGTCAGAAACTTCTGTTTAAAAAGAGCTTCATTCTTCTTACTAACAGCCTGCTTCCTTAGAATTTTTGAATGCCTCCCCACCTCTTTTCACGGTGTGCTAATGAACCACCAACACTCCTATATTTAAAGAATTACACAGCTCATCATGGCCTGGAAGGATTGGCTGTGAACTTCCCTTGTTTGAAAATGGCAGAATTAGTACCTAGCTTCATTTATGTATTCAATCTGGTTGAAGGACAAAGTGCTAACTTCTTAAAACAGGGAAGGGCAAATTTGCCTTGCTAGATGTGTGTGAATTTTTTTCGCCCCAACTGCAACTGCCATGAGCCTTTGCTAGCATAGTTAATGGTGAGGGACTGTGGCCACTGTAGTCAGCTTCCCACTTCTGTCTTAAAAGGAAACTTAGTCTGCAAGCATATGCAAGGAGAAGCAATGCTTATGAATAGATGTGAGCAGGATGTAGCTATTAGGCATCTTATCTGTAGTGATATAATGCTGTACTGGATGGATTTTGATCATGCCCCGTAAGGAACCTTAGTGTTTTTTTAATTTGGTAAAACTGAAATCATTTGGAACAAGCAGATTGTACACATGCTATTGAGCATCACAGAATTAAGTTGGATTGTGTTGGTCTATTTGTGAGAGCCAGACCAAAAAACTCTGCTGTCCGGAGCAAAAGGCAGTTGGAGTATGAATCTTATTTTGACCCTAGTGATAGCATAGCATGCTCCTGCTAGCATACAAACAAGCTTAGAGGACAAACACCAGTCATCTGGTCTGTTTTACACGGTCTCCTAGCTCACTATGACTCCCCACCTACAGTATCTATCACCTTGTGCATCAGCTCCACTCTGCCTTATGCTAGGGCCAGCCAGCCCTGATTCTTTAAAAAAAAGGCCTTAATCAAATCAGTAGAATCAATCCTTAGTAAATACTGGCCAAAAGCCTGTTGCTTAGTGTAGTAAATTGCACCAGGGGTAAGCCCATTGAATCAATGGAGTCAGTTCCTTGGTAAGATCCATTGATTTGAATGTGCCTACTCTTTTAACTGCAAGTTGCCATGCTAAAGTAAATCACAGAGCAGTCCTATGTGAATCAGTAGAAGTCATGGAGGAGTTGACTCACCAAATCCCCTTTGATTCAATGAGTCTACTCTAGTGTGATTTACTGTGTTAATCAACAGAATTTAGGCCAATGTCTGGATTGAGCTACTAATATGCCATTTAAATTTGACCCAGATCTATGGTATTGTAGTAATTCTTTCCCTAGTGTTAAAGTGGGGATTTATTTATTCTTATTGTATGGATAACACACCCCAACCCCATCCCGCAAGGCACGGTGCAGAGATCATAATGAAAGTACAGAACTGCACTGTCACCAGAATCAGATGTATCAACTGAAATGTTTGTCCATGCACACTCTCCTTTGTAGTGGGCTGATAAATTCTTGCGGCGCTGCTGGCTGTTTGGGATTTGAACTGAAAGATGCAGTTGAAAGAGTAGATGCTGCTGGTAGACACAGATTAGTGCCGTATGTTCTTGTTTGTTCCCTCTGGCTTCAGTGGCAGCCTTCGTTTTTTAAATAATAACATGCTCAGGGTAACAAATGAGGCTGTATGTTGCTCAGAGTGTTGTGTGAGCGTGCTGTCAGGGGATGACTCTTAGGAGGAAGGAGAGAGCGTCAACATTGATATTATATAATGTAACCAACGTGAAGCCTCCTGTGTTCTAACAGGTGAAATTAGCATGCTCTGTCTGATCTGGGAGTTCACATCCTGTCTAGGTTAACCATAGGCTAACTATAATCTGTCAGCCTTGTTGACTTTGTAGGGTTGATGTGAAGATAGAACCAAGGAATGCCATGTGCCTGGAGCCTCTTGGGTTAAGTTAAATAATTTGATGGATGTATGTATGAATGCAGATGGTACATTTTAATGTAAATTTAATTAAAATATTTTTACTCCAAGTTTCTCCTAAGAAGGATCCAAGTTTGCATCACTACAAACACAGCACGACAAACTAGAAACAGTAAATTAGTCAAATGTGTTTAAAGAATTAACGACGTTATATTTGAAAGGTTAGGTAAAAGCATTACTGAAACAGATTTTGAAACAACAAAATACAAACCATCCCAGACAGTCAGTTGCTAAGGAAAAGAGAAGAGAAAGGTTTTTGCCTGCTTGCTGAAGGACAGCAAAGATGGGGCCAGCCTGGCCTCCAGTGGAAGGGAGTTCCAGAGTCTGGGAGCAGCAACAGAGAAGGCCCTCTCCCCATACCTCTACTAAATGCACCTGTGAGGGTGGTGGGACTGAGATTATCTTAAGGCCTCCATAGCCATGGTACAAGGAAGACTCAAAACTACAGCTGCAATCTTTTCTGTGTGTATATATTATATAGGCACATGGGCAAATACAAGCTAATAATAACATTGTCATAGAGAAAGTCCATTTCAATTCCAGGTATATAAGGATTGCCGTGATGCTCAGACAGTTTGGGAGGCATGGGTAGTGGTGGAAGATGATGCCCTCATCCTTGATGATCAAAAGAACTTGCAGGCCTATCAGCACTACAATACAGAGTATGGGGAACTGTCTTCTATGCCAACCTGTGACAGTTGTCTGTTTCACATGTCAGTGATCAGATGCTGCAGTGATTGAGGATGGGGTTATATGAACTCACCCTGAGAGAAACTGGCAGAATAAATAGCCAGTTAATTCACCTGCTTTCTTTGTCTGCTGTAAAAAACCAGTTGTTGGCAGCACAATGCAACCTCTTTTGTGGTTGATTATAGAGCACTTGCCTTTCATGTCTGTGAGGGGCCCCATATCTTGCATGGTTTGCATGCAGAAGATTCTGAGTTCAATCCCTCCAGAAAGGGCTAGGAGAGAATCCTTGGAGAGCTACCACCAGTCTGAATTGACAGTATGGTGTCAGCTGAGGTTGATGGCTGTCATGTCAGTAGGGCAGTGAAGGAGTTCCAAGATTTAGGGAGAATTTAGAAGACTTATTTTAGTTTTGGAACTGCTTTGGGAAATAGAGTTCAGCACCTTGGATAGCTCCCTTAAGTTATGATGACCAGAATTCAAAGTGGATTTTGCACCCAGACTAGCATCCATGCCACCATCCTTGAGTTGGACATATTTTATCTGTTTATTCAATTTATAAACCACCTAGCAAAATTGCTACTCTGGGCAGTTTATGACAGAAATAAACATAAATTATGTACTCAATATAAACATTAGGCTACCTCATACATAAACAGCAACCCAAGGTGGGGAAACAAGTTCAAAAATACCCTACAGTATTCTCCTTCCTCCACTGTCCCAGCTATTTGAGGAGAGCCTTCCCCAAAACCTCCTGGAATAGCTCTGTTTTTAAAAGCATTTTAAATATATGAGAGGAGGGTAGTTGGTGCAGTTCCTGTGGGAGAGCATTCCATAGAGATGGCACCACTCCTTAAAAAAGCTTGGTTTGTGGTTACCAATTTCTGGGCTTCTCTAGATGTCAACCCCTGAAAACACAGGGTTTGTAATTTGAAAGCTACTTAGTTCATAAGATTCTGGGTTCAGTCTCTGGTGTGTCCAAGGGAAACTCCTTGTTTGAGATTTTGGACCACTAACACAAATCACAGCAGATAGCACTGGGCTTAATGTAACAATGTTCTGACTCTACCACATGTGGCAGCTTTTCATAGTCAGATTTGACTGTTTCACTCTTATGTACGTGCCACCATGGGGGAAGAAAACTTACCTGCAAAATATAGGAAGTGATAGTCACAGGACCATAAGGTAAGTCACATTTTCTGTAGGATATATGGAATACTGGTGTGATTTCTTCATATAGTGAATGATCACTTACCTTATTGCTTTCCTTTCCAGTGGTGGACCTACACATTCTTTGGCCATGGATGTATTCATGAAAGGATTCAATAAAGCCAAGGATGGAGTTGTGGCAGCAGCAGAGAAAACGAAGCAGGGTGTGGCAGAAGCAGCAGGGAAAACAAAAGAAGGTGTCTTATATATGGGTAGGTAGGCAAGCAACTCTAAACTAAGCTTGTTTTTCTTCTCTGACTGATTTAAACGGTGATGTATTAGAGCATCATGAGGAACCTGTTGCAGCACAGATGTTGCTGGATTTTTGGTGCACAGCCAAACTGGACAGGGGATAAATTATTCTTCCCCTTTGGAATGAAAATACTGGCCAATGGTATTGGGTATATGGGGCAGGGGGAGGGGAGGGAAACAGAATCTTTACCTGTATTTATAGTAAAATTCCAGGCCATCCAGACAGCCATTTTACCACATATCTGCACTTAGTGTATGGTAAAAAAAATTCCTTGCACTTAGCAGGAGAGTAACATATGACCAAGTCTGTCCCAGACAGTGGAATTCGTCTTGAGGTTGGTGGGTTGTCTGTGGGGCTCCAAGGCTGATAGAAATGGAGGAAGAAGCCATAGGAAAAGACTCATTGGCATAAACAGGGAGCATCATGTCCAACAGTAGCTCTCCAGATGTTTTTGGACTGCAGTTCTCATAATCACTCATTATGGCCTAGGATGGGTAGGGCTGCTGTGAGTTACACAGGACCACACAGTTAACCATCCTTGATATGTGTAAAGCTTTAAAAGGTGTAAATTGGGCAGTGATGACACACAGCTTTACAGTAGGTTGACTTGGTAATCTGTCCTTCTGGAAACTTTAATGGGATGTGTTGTGAGGACTTTCAGGTTGTGTATCATGGTGATGATGCATCCAGCATTAAGGGAGACTGTGATTTCTTGAAAAGACCTTAGAGACTAAGCGGTCTCCAAACTATGGCCTGTGGGCCACATCTGGCCTATGTTGCTGTTTTGTCTGGCCTGTTCCCTTCAGCCTGTATGTATGTGGGGTGGGTAGGTGGTGGGGTGCATGCATGTGTGCATGCTTGTGACGAGGGCATGTGTGTGTGCATCTGAGTGGGCACCCAGGGGGTGGGTGGGGGTGCATGTGTGTGTGCATGGCCCTCACTGTGAAAACTTTGGAGACCCCTGCTTTAGAGAGTTCACAAATATGGCTAATATGTCCTGGACTGCTCCACTCCAGTCTAGAAATAGAAGAGTTCTATTTCTAAATGCTTCTCTACAAGCAGAAAAAAAAATCATGCATGTAGAAAACATGTTAGAGGAAGTGATGCAGTATAAACCTCTTCCTGGCAGATAAATCTTCTACATAAAGAGTTCAATGTTTTTCTAGCTGGACATCCAAACATGTCATTTCTTCTCCTCCAGGAATAATTTACCACAATCCTGTTGAGTCCAAAAGCCAACATTCCTTCATATTCGCTCTGTTATTTTATAGTGGCAGACTGTTCTGTTAGCTGTTTGAAGTGCACTAAAATGTAAAATGGATAACTTATTTTTAAGTGCAATTGAGAATTATTACATTGAAATACACCTTGGTAAGTGTAGGTTGAATTGCAAGCTTGGTGTGTATTGGAGCAATTACACAAGTGCTTTAGTGTACTCAGTGAATCCATTTAAAATACATTCACAGCATGCCAATTTGGTGTGTTGAATGGATGCTCCTTGCAAAGTGCAAAGAAGCAATGCACTTTCCCCCCCTATAGAACTGTCTTTATTAAGGGGGAATTTGTGGTAGAAGAGAGACAATGGGTAATATACAGCTGACAAATACAGTCACCACAATATTATCCCCAAACAAAGATGGATGTTACCTTTATTATACTATGAAAATCTGAAAAGCAGGAATAAGCTGGCTTTTGAGTTCAGTAGGACTCCTTATCAGGTTGGTCACTGCAGAGCTGTGGGGGTATTCGTGTGAAAGAGAAATCCCCCAAATTCCCCCCAAATAATCTTGGCCAAATGTTAAGGCTAGGGTCTCTTGCTTAAAGTAGATTCCAAAATGGACCCTGCAACATTTTAGAATCTGGTGTCACTTAGGGATATGTAGATTTCTTGTTGTGTCATATTATGTTATACAGTATATCCAAGTTGCTGTTGTCCCTCTGTTTCCCATTGGTGTCTGGTATTTTCTAATTGTGATTAGGCTGGTTCTGCTCATTAACAGCATGATCATCTTCCAGGAGTGTGGGCCTCAGCATGTACCCAACAATGCCATCCCCCTTTGTTTCTTTCTTAAAAATTCACACTGTTGCTGCAAAGACCAGTCTATGAGCACTCCATGTAGGTGGAGAACAGCCAAGACTGGTGCCTATGATTTTTCAGGGGTGGTGAATCCACTCTGGGTTTTACCCCAGACTTTGCAGCAGTTATCCAAGATACTAAACCCTAGATTCAAAATAAATAAATAAATAAATTTCAGCACCCTGGATAGCTCCTGTAAAATTTGGTCCAAAGCCAGGAACAGATTCACTGCCCCTGTGAAATTGGAACCATCAGCCTCTGCTATTGAAAAACATGTGGTTCAGTTGTTTGGACCTTTGTATATCTATCACAGAAAGAGTGAGCGCAAATCCATAGTGGACTTACTCATAAGACATGTTCATCTGTATAAAACTGGCATGCTTCAAACAGTGATTTCCTTTTTCTTATGCATAGAATTAAGGGAATAAAGAAAGCTGGCTTTATCCTCCAAACTGCTAGCTTTAGTGTTTCTCTTTGATGGCCACAAGAATTATGAGTTTGTCTCTGGAAATATTTCAGAAAATTTGATCAGAGCAGCTACTCTTCAGCTTTGAGTTTCAACATAATCTCATATGTCTTCCGAGCCTTTAGCAGCAGGAATACTCATTCCATGACAAATGTTTCTCTACAGTTTCTCCTGGTTACCTGCTTTCCAGTCCTTGATGTGCAGACTTCTCTGACAAAGAGTGGCTTGCACTCACTCTTTTTGTGATAGACATACAAGGGTCCAAACAGAATGAGTAGCAATACATAACTCATCACAACCAAGTTACATTTACAAGCGAGGGTTGTTGCTACATTAACAAGTGAAATGTCTGCTGTCTTAGAAAATAATGCATGTATGTTTGCAGGAACAGTCTTTCATATTGCAGAATGCCTGTATTATCTTTTATTGGTGTAGTTTCTGTGCCTGGAAGACTGCTATTTATTTTTCATAGGTCCTTTCGGGAAAAGCCTAGATCTGACATGGTAGAAATGGCCTAGCTATATTAATTTAAGCCTCTTGAAGGAGGATATTATCTAAGCAACCTAATGGGGCAACATACTGAAAGCAGTGTGTACTCACATGCCCACTTCCTGTCCAACATGTGTCCTAAAGCATGATTCATAATCATGTTGTCTATTGCCAGGACAATAATTTAGGAGGGCTTCTTCTACTCCTCTTTGAATGCAGCACAATGAAGAGAAATTTGTGTATTTCCTGTCTTCCTGCTGTCCACCTTTTAAGAAGGTTTCAAAAGCAACAAATGTACCTACTACAACAATTCTGCATCCACAGCTTTTTTCCTTGAAATATTGGTCACCATGCAGTATCTCATTTCCTTACCCCAAAGCTATAGAATTGTAGACATAAAAGAATCCCAAAGGTTACTGAGTCTACTGCTAAAAAAGTAGTAGATCCATAGTAAAACACCTCTGATAGATGATCCCCATACTTCAGTTTTAAAACCTCAATTGAAGGCAAGTTAGTCACTTTCCAAGATAGTTCATTGCAGTGTTACTTCTTGTCAAGAAAAGACAGGAATGCCGTTTTCTTGACATTGAACATTGAAACAGTCAAGCAGACAGCTAGCTTTCAATAATTTCATCTTCCTCAGGCTGTGTACTAAGATATTCTGTGTAGTTCCAAAGCTACACACGGCTGTTGTTTGTGCCAAGTGTTGTGTTCTTCCTGATGTTGAGACAAAACCTCCTTTCTTGCTATTTGATGCCACTAGTTCAAATCCTACCTTACAAAGCTACATAAAACAATTTCTCCATCTTCTATCAGACAACTCTTCAAATATTTGAGATGGCTATCTCACCATCTCTGTCTTTTCTCCAAGCTAAACATGCCCACCTCTTTCAACCACCCTTCATCAGTTTTA